TGTGTGAGAACATAAAACCAGGGACAAGCGTCCTCCTTCCCAGGCTGTGAAAGCGCCTTGGTTTGGGGTGTTTTTTTTTTCCAATATCAATTATATAAAAAAATACTCCAGAGCAGCTTGTGAAGCTAGACCGGCGCTGAGTCGAGCAGGCCGTACACCTGGCATCCCGGCGGGTCTGCTCCCAAGTTGGAGGGGTGATCTGGGAGGTCCTGGGTCCGTACTGCACACCAGGGAGCTGCGTGACAAGCGGAGATGGCCAGGGTCGCTTTCCACCAGAGTATTCTCGTGTTTTGCCAAGAAAAAAAAAGAAAAAAGGCCGACTGTTCCATAAGGCTTCTGTTGAAATAGGATTTTAGCGTAGAAGCCCACGTGCCCAGGTTGTGATTCAGGGTTGAAATTCTATGTTGTGCTTCTAAATACGGTGCAGTAACTTTAAAAAACAATTTTCTTGTTTCATACAGCTGTATTACCAAGTCCTAAATTTTGCTATGATAGTGTCCTCTGCCCTTATGATATGGAAAGGGCTGATCGTCATTACTGGAAGTGAAAGTCCTATTGTTGTGGTGCTCAGGTAAGTCAATGTAAAGGCTTGTTTGTTAAAGCCCAAATACTGTTTTGTCCTTTGTCTCCCCCCTTGTACAGATTTGGAGTTTGCAATCTCACCTACTTAAAGAAGTACTCAAACCCTTCCTTTCTGCTAGCTTTGTTTTTGCTCACCTAGCAAAGGCTACTTTTGTAGTTGCAGTCTAGTTTTTCCTGAAGTTTGTAGAAGCAGTAGGTGTGTGGTACATAAAGAGCGAGCCCTGCAGGCCCCTGTGTGCTGATCGAATCTGTGAGGTTAAACATGTGTTCGTGGAAGGTTCAGCCTTATGGAAATCGAACGTGTGTCAGCGAGCACAGTAAATAACAGTATTTTAGCAGGAATTGCCTGTTCATGTTATAGCTATTGGTTATGGGATCTGGAACCCTGCCTTAAAGGTTGTTACTGAAAGACACTATGGCTGGCTTTGAGAAAGGGTGTGGAAATAGTGATCACTAATGTAAGCTTAACTCCTGCTCATGTTAATTAAACTCTTTCTATGTAGAGAAGTACTTCCTTTTCTATTGTGGAATTTTTTTTTTTTTTCAATAATTGATTGGTTTTCTTAACCAGACTGGCTCCAGTTTTGTTCCTTCATCATAGCTACAGTACCGTTACTTTTCTATACGGCTTCTTTCTTTCTTTCTTTCATTGAGGCGGTAAGAAAGTCTTCTGCAGGCTGGCTCAGCTTGAGACTCACGGAGGTTTGGGTTGCGTTAAATGTCTCTGTAGTGTTACTGAAGGGGTGAAGCTACAGATTTCAGTTAAAATGAGTTTATCTGTAAAAACTAAATCTCCTTTGTTTTCATGGTTCTTCTTTCATTTACTGTAATGCTAATAAAATCTTTCTTTTGTTTGTAGTGGCAGCATGGAACCAGCTTTTCACAGGGGAGACCTGCTGTTCCTAACGAATTTCCATGATGACCCAATCAGAGCTGGTGAAATAGTTGTTTTTAAAGTTGAAGGCAGAGACATTCCAATAGTTCACAGAGTAACCAAAATACATGAAAAGTAAGGCAACTTGGCATTTTCCTTGTTTCTAAATATAGTTTCCTTCACTGTGACTTTTACTGAAATCTTAATATGGTAGTATTTTATGAAAATGGCAGGGGAGGGGATGGTGTAAGATAAAACACACCTCTAGGATGTGATCTGCTTTTGTCCTCAATTCTGTTGTGTGCTGCTTGTGTCTTGGTGAAGTTGCTCAAGTTTGAAGTAGGTAAATGTATGCCAAAGAGGAGTCCGGAAACACAAGCAGTACGCATTATTTTTGCCGGCAGTAGCAATGTGTGTGGGAGCAGAGTTCACTTCTGTACTGACTGTTGTAGAGTTGGGGGTTTGGTTCCGAGAAATAGCTGCTTCTAAGAGCAAATCTCTGAACGACTGTGGAGATTCAGACATGTATGTGATCTTTGCTAACTGAAGTTTTCCAGAAAAAAAGAATTGACTCAGAATGAAAGAAGAGATTCTTACTCTTTTTGTGTCTGTTGGTCACCGTGCCAACAACAATTCATGCTGAAAAGCAACAGGTAGATGACTTGTTCTTACCGTTATTGCTCGTGCCTGGCATGGTAAGCAGTTCCTTCTCAAACAGAACGAGGCAATTCTGTTTCTAATTCTGCACAACGAAAAGCTTCCCTGGAGGTGGCGAGCACTGACATATTTGCTCCTCAGGATGCCCTGGCCGTGAACGGAAGGTGTTGGTCTTTTGAGTAATATCTGCTCTTCAACGCATTTTTTAAACAAATATGTATATCCAAGAATTACCTCTTTTTTTTTTTTTAGTACCTAATTTGTCTTCATAAAAAACTCCCTGTTTCTTGGTTTCGTTGCTTGCAATTGGCAACTCCTTGAGCAAAATCATTTCGAAGACTGTGAACTTTATAACTTTATTTAACAGCAGTGCTTAAATTATATCATTCAAAACGTACTGTAAGATACTCTGTTAATTTGAAATGGTAGGGGAAGGTTATGATTTAGGCATGTTC